TTTGTATCTTTTTTAATTTGAGCTTTGATTTTGAAAGTATTATATTTATGAAAACAATAACTACATACACAAAATTGGCAGAAGTCGGGTACACTTAGAAAAAATCAGATGGTAGCTCTACCACACCATTTCATTGTAACATGATGTTTAATAAAAATAGAAAGCTGTTAAAGTGAGAATACAAAAAACCCTTATTGATTGTTCCTCTACGAAGAAGCCAGTCAATTTTTATATATTCTCACCTTTTTTGATATCTTTGCAATAGAAAGATTACTATTTGGGGACTTCAATAGAATCATTATAGACAGATGTTTTCATGACTTAAGTAATCGGCTGGCCTTTTCGTGTAGGAACAAAGGAGTTTTAAGTTGACTTGGGTTCGATTTCGACCCTACGCTTCTTTTCCGAAAAAGCCAGCCAATGACCGAGGACAAAAGAGCCTTTTATGTATTCTCACCTTTATAGATAAACTTACATTTTGGAATTTCGATTTCTAAGGTCTTTCATATAAAGGGGGCCTAGAAAGTGCCCGCTTTTTCGTCAGAAAAAATTCCTACTTCACAAAATTCACGATTGGTTCAGTTTTGGCAAAAATTCTTAGAACAATGCATGAAACTTCATTCGTTCTAAATTTTCAGATTTCAAGGTTGTATACATTACTCAAGTTTTTCCTGTTCGGAAAGAACAATAGGAAATTGTTAAGCTTTTGCAGCTATTCGGAATCGTTCATTTTAAGGTTTAGCAAGAAGGGTATCCACATCCAAATTTTCCGCCCCAAACTATTTCAATGCACAGGGTTGCCCATATTCGACGAACCCATCTGGCGACGCCATAACTTTTGACAGAGATGTCACATCGCTTAATGACATACCGCGTTTGAAGCATCAGTCCAAACAGATTTTTACCATGAACCAATACACGCCACGCGAGCGCTCTGAAATAGTTGAAATTTACAAGAAGTCAATTGTAACAAGTAAAAAAGCAGTAAGTTCGGCCGGGCCGAACTTTGAATACCCTCCACCATTTGGAACGAATTAGAAAATTTTCAAAAAAATTAAATCCAATAAAAATTCTTTTAAAATCTTTAAAATATCTAATATAGGAAGGTGCCGATATATGGGGGATATATGATATTGTGGACCTATAAAGACAAATCTAGGTCTGCGTGTAAAGTACTCACAAAGAACTCCTTGCATGGATTTTCAGATAATTCCATTGGAAAAAGTGGCTAAAATCATCAAAATACCGAATATAGGGGAGTACCGTTATATGGGGGCTATACGATATTGTGGACCTATATAGATGATTCTCTGCCGAGGTATAAAGTACCCACCAGGAACTCCTTGTGTGGATTTTTAGACAATTCCGTTGAAAAATGTGGGTAAAATCATCAAAATACCGAATATCGGGGGGTACCGTTATATGGGGGCTATACGATATTGTGGACCTATACAGATAATTCTCTGCCGAGGTATAAAGTACCCACAAGGAACTCCTTGTGTGGATTTTTAGACAGTTCCGTTGAAAAATGTGGGTAAAATCATCAAAATACCGAATATCGGAGGTACCGTTATATGGGGGATATACGATATCGTGGACCTATATAGACAAATCTTTTTGAGGAGGTAAAATGCCCACAAGGGACTCCTTTTGTGGAATTTCAGACAATTCCATTGAAAAATGTGGCAAAAATCATCAAAATACCGAATACCGTGGGGGTACCGTTACATGGGGGCTATACGATATCGTGGACCTGTATGGACAATTCTCTGCCGAGGTATAAAGTACCCACAAGGAACTCCTTGTGTGGATTTTCAGACAATTCCGTTGAAAAATGTGCGTAAAATCATCAAAATACCGAATATCGGGGGCTATACGATATTGTGGACCGATATAGCCCATCTTCGAATTTGACCTGCCTGCAGATAAAAGAGAGCTTTGTGCAAAATTTTAGCTTCCTATCTTAATTCGTTTAGACTGTAGCGTGATTACAACAGACGGACAAACGGACAGACGGACGGACAGGGCTAAATCGTCTTAGAATTTTACGCTGATCAAGAATATATATATACTTTGTTGGGTCTAAAATGATTATTTCGATGTGTTACAAACGGAATGACGAACTTAATATACCCTCCATACCTTTTTTGGTGGAGGGTATAAAAACTCAACGTGCTTTTAAAATATTAAAAAATGTGAGAAGTGCGCCTTCTAAGAACACCATTAAGCGTTTATACGAAAAATTTTCGACTGGTAAGGCTCTTTCTAATCGGAAGAGGCCATATAAAAGTCGACCAAGGCGATCGGCCGAGAATATCGCTGCCGTACGAGCCAGCTCGGTCCACTTTACAACAGATTATTCGCATTGATTTGCATTTGTTCCCGTACAAAATTCAGTTGACGCAAAGAATGTTGCCTGCGGATAAGCCTCGTCGATTGGAATGGGCCAAAGGTCCGTCGAATATGAGCAACCCTGTATTAGAAACCAACAGTGACCACAATATCAAATGTTAGAATTACAGCTCTATCCAATATTTTGTACCAATACCAAATTTTGTATCTTTTTGTATGCATATCAAAAAAAAATCTTCATCTCTCCATTCTAGAACTTTCTCAGAGACCTCAATAACAAATTTTAAGAATCCAGCCCAGGTGAAGTGATAACTTTTTTTCAAATTTAGTACCATTCAGTACTTTTCGTACAATAATGCTAAACATTTCCGAAACCACCTCCATATGTCCAGGCCATACATTAACAGAGACCCTAATACCAAATTTCAGATTTCATGCGCTGTCTGTTTACCCAATACCAAATTGCACTTAATTTTGTACTATTTCGTGCCCGTAGTATCGGTTTTAAAAACCATCTCTTTATCAGAAACCCAACACAAATTTTCAAATTCCAGCTTCATCCGTTCACCCTAAAGCAGAATGTTTCATATTTGGGATCACTAAATTCGCACACTTAGTACACAATTCCAAAATCACCTTCACATAAAAAACTTTCTTAACAACCTTGATTCTCATACTAAAATATCAAATTTCTAGCTCTATCCGTTCACATTATACCAAATGATACAATTTTAAAAATTTTGTACAATTTTAGAACTTTTCGTAGCCTTAAAGTTCGAATTTTCAAAAACCCTTTTATACATCCATCAGTGACTTTCTATCCGTTTTCATTATACCAATTGGCCCAATTTTACAAGTTTTGTACCATTTTAGAACTTTTCGTAACCTTAAAGTTCTATTTTCCAAAAATACTTTGATACATCTATCCTGCGCTCCATCAAATTTAAGAATTCTAGATCATTTCGTTTGTCCAACGACCCTCAGTTGAAGAAACGTGGATTTTCTAAAGAATATTTTTCCAACGACCATCAGTTGAAGAAACGTGGATTTTTTAAAGAATATTTTTGCAACGACCATCAGTTGAAGAAACGTGGATTTTTTAAAGAATATTTCTTTAATGACCCTCAGTTGAAGAAACGTGGATTTTTTAAAGAATATTTTTTCAACGACCATCAGTTGAAGAAACGTGGATTTTTTAAAGAATATTTTTTCAACGACCATCAGTTGAAGAAACGTGGATTTTTTAAAGAATATTTATTCAACGACCATCAGTTGAAGAAACGTGGATTTTTTAAAGAATATTTTTTTAATGACCCTCAGTTGAAGAAACGTGGATTTTTTAAAGAATATTTTTTCAACGACCATCAGTTGAAGAAACGTGGATTTTTTAAAGAATATTTTTTCAACGACCATCAGTTGAAGAAACGTGGATTTTTTAAAGAATATTTATTCAACGACCATCAGTTGAAGAAACGTGGATTTTTTAAAGAATATTTTTTCAACGACCACCAGTTGAAGAAACTTGGATTTTTTAAAGAATATTTTTTCAACGACCATCAGTTGAAGAAACGTGAATTTTTTAAAGAATATTTATTCAACGACCATCAGTTGAAGAAACGTGGATTTTTTAAAGAATATCTTTTCAACGACCATCAGTTGAAGAAACGTGGATTTCTTAAGAATATCTTTTCAACGACCATCAGTTGAAGAAACGTGGATTTTTTAAAGAATATTTTTGCAACGACCATCAGTTGAAGAAACGTGGATTTTCTAAAGAATATTTTTCCAACGACCGTCAGTTGAAGAAACGTGGACTTTTTTAAGGATATTTTTCGAAGGACCGGCAGTTGAAAAAACGTGGATTTTTTAAAGAATATTTTTCGAAGGACCATCAGTTGAAGAAATGTGGAGTTTTTTACGAATATTTTTTCAAGTCCATCAGTTGAAGAAGCGTGGATTTTTTAAAGAATATTTTTTCAAGTCCATCAGTTGAAGAAACGTGGATTTTTTAAAGAATATTTTTTCAACGACCATCCGTTGAAGAAACGTGGATTTTTTAAAGAATATTTTTGCAACGACCATCAGTTGAAGAAACGTGGATTTTTTAAAGAATATTTTTTCAACGACCATCCGTTGAAGAAACGTGGATTTTTTAAAGAATATTTTTGCAACGACCATCAGTTGAAGAAACGTGGATTTTTTAAAGAATATTTTTTCAACGACCATCCGTTGAAGAAACGTGGATTTTTTAAAGAATATTTTTGCAATGACCATCAGTTGAAGAAACGTAGATTTTTTAAAGAATATTTTTTCAACGACCATCAGTTGAATTTTTAAGACACAACCTTATTACAGACCTATGCACCAAGTTTGGCCCGCCCGCATTATTTCAAGATTCTAGCTTCTGCCATTTCTTCTGGGAGTTGATTCTAGTCCAATATTCCTAAATTATAATGATAATAGCATTGTCACTTCTAGTTATCCTCAAAAAGTACACCCTTTAAGCTTTATTTACAACGCTAAATTATAATTCCAAAGATGGGGCTTTAATTTTTTTAGCAAATTGACGTCTTGTGCCTAATTTACGTCAATTTCTAAAGTTAAATGCCGAATTAACTACAAGACAACCTCTTTCAATTTTATGGCCAACGAAAACAGAAACGGAAAGGCAACTCTAAATTGTTCGCCTCGTCATGAAAGCTTTCAATTCAAAAGACATAAAGAAGAAAATTTTCTACAGAAACTCAAATTAAATTCAAATTAAATTTCACAACCCACAAATATTTACCGTTCATTTAGCGAAAAAAAAAAAAATGAACGAAAAACGAAACATTCTCAGCGGAAAAATGGTATGGAAAAGTGAACTAAGAATAATGTCCAAACCTTATCTAATCAATTTCTAGCGCAAACAAATCTCACGCAAGCCATCATCTTCTCCCTCAATTGTTCTGTAAGAGAAAACAATGTCATTATCATCATCAGCATCTGCTACGGAATCATGCGAGGATGCAGTTTTATTTATGGACTTTTGTCAAATGCAGTGGAAATGCTAAGCTATGCCCTGGATGTGTAACAAATCCCACAGTGAGGCAGGTAAGAATATCAAACCATTGCTTGGTGCGCTCCCCTTCCTTCATGCATTGCATTGTTACCTACGACGGAGGCACAACTGTTGTTGGCACCCAACCACAAACGTGAATGTTGCAACTGATAGTTCTTCTTTCTTCTTTGTCATCTTTATACTGCTTGTTTTGTTTTTATTTCTCTCTGGTTTTTTTGCTGATGCATCGTAACCGGGACTGTTGCAGGTTCCCCAAGTTATTACATTAGCCACACTCTACGAAGGCATTAACACGACAGACACGAAGAGGCGAAGAAACAGCATCAATAAACCTGTTACAATGTCACGTAAGAAAAAGTTCCATTCAAAATTGCTGTCACATAAAATACGAGACGACAAAATGTACCGCTAAAAGTCTATCCCAAGCTTTACACTCAAACTAAAATAAGCGCTAAATTACATTCTGGTGAGAGTTCAGATTGAGTATGACAACTAATGTACACGGGTCAAATCAGTTGTTTCCATATCTTTTTGTCTAAATATATATTTGATTGAAAATCCCATAATTAATTTTTGTAATATATGTAAATGTCATTTGTTTCTGCATTTAGGGCCTGCTTCTGTAAGGCAATACGAATCAGAATGCGAAAAAATATCATTGCAATTGGGTTTTTCATATTTTGGATTTTCGTTCTTAATTAAATCAAAAATTTAAAATTCATTCATATTGTTATTTTACGTTCGCATTCATTTTGGGCTCACCATAAAGAACCAGGTCCTTAGAAGTCAAATATAAGAAGTCTGCGTTATATTGGGGACTATACGAAGACATGGACTAGCAAAGGTAACTTTTGTCATAGGCAATAACAATATTTAAATACGAAAATAGAAAAAAACCAGTAAAGAAAGATTTAAAGCCGCGCGAGGCCGACTTTATGATACCCTACACCACTTTGCTAATTTAGTAGAGCTGCGTATAACAATTAAAATTTTTATGGGAGAATTCAATCATACACCCTATGATTATAATTATAATTTAAAGTTGAAAGGACTAAATATGCCGAAGCATTTGTATTTTTTAAATTCCGCCTTGTATTGCCCATTTGGTGCAATATTAATTTGAAATCAGATAAAAATATATGCTATATTCAAATCTTAACGGATCTCGATAAAATTTGGCAAATATATTTCTGAGTTGTATTTGATATATTTCCCTGAATATCGTTGTTACGGAGTGCATATTACGGCTGTGGGTAACAAATATGACACATCGGATGAACAGTATATATGGGAGCTATATCCAAATCTGAACCGATCTCGATAAAATTTAGCAAATGTATTTCTGAGCTGTATTTGGTATATTTCCTCAAATATTGTTGTTACAGAGTGCATATTACGGCTGCGGAGGAAAAAAATAACAAATCGGATGAACAATATATATATGGGAGCTATAGCTATATCTAAACCGATTTCGATCAAATTTGGCATACTTATTTTCAGGTCCAATCTGATTGTACGTGCAAAATTCCATACTATTCGGACTGATATTACACGTTTGGTGCACAATAAAAAGCAAATCGGCCGAAGATATATATGGGAGCTATATCTAAATTTTGACCGATTATCTCCAATTTCAATAGGGTTCGTCCTAGGGCCAAACAAATTTCATCTGGATAGGGCAATAAATGCAAACTGTACTTTGTTTACAAAAATACATGGACAGATGGACGGACGGACGGACATGCATAAATCGACTCAGAATGTGATTCTATGCAGATCATCAAAAGGAACTATGGGTCTATCTCGTTTCCTTTTGCCTGTTACGAACAAATGCACAAAGACATAATACCCTGACCACCTTGTGGTGTAGGGTATAAAAATAGGGAGAATAATGTAGTTAAAACCATCAAAATAGGTGTTGATATAGGGGGGCTATGCGTTACTAAGCATAGCTCCCCTATGCTGTAATACCCGTTACGAACTTAAAACACGCAAACGTTTTGGCCGCAGCCCTTGGACATACCAACAGGACTTATCATCATCGCTCTCAGCACGCGCCACCCAAGAATGGTTACAGAATGAGGTTCCTCGTTTCATTTCCAGCGCACAATAGCCACCAAAATCTCCGGATACCGATCCGTTGGACTATTGTGTCTGGAGTATTTTGGAAGGCAAGGTTGGCACTAAAAATACCCAAATGTCGATAACCTCAAGCAAGCGCTTCGCCGGGAATGGGCCAAAATACCGCAGAGCAACATTCGGGCAGCGTGTGACGGTTTTATTGGCCGTTTGAAGTCCATAATTCGTGCCAAAGGTGACCAGTTCGAACAAATCTAAACTTATTCTAAAATTTGATGCTAATTCCGACATTTTTGCTTTCATTCAAAAAAAAAAATTAAAAAGAAAAAATGTAAAATTATGGCGTTTGACTTTGTTGCAGTTTTTTCATCTCACCCTGCATATTCTTGATCAGCGTAAAATTCTGAGACGATTTAGCACTTTTCGTTTGTCCGTGTGTTGTAATCACGCTAGAGTAAAAACGAATTAAGATAGGAAGCTAAAATTTTGTATAGTTCAGACTTTTATCTGAAGGCAGGTCATGTTTTAAAATGGGCTATATCGGTCTACGATATCGTATAGCCCCAAATATAACAATATTCGGTATTTTGATGATTTTAGCCAAGTTTTTCTATGAAATTGTCTGAAAATACACACTAGGAGTTCCTTCTGAGTACTATATACGTTCAGGATATCGTTTAGGCCCCATATATCGGTGCCCCCCGATATTCGGTATTTTGATGATTTTAACAACATTACTAATACACATCTTCGTATAGCGCCCATATAACGATTTTGCATTGAACGGTATTTTTCATCGGAATTATTTGTAATTTTTTCAAGATCCTTCAAAAAGATGGAGGGTATTAAAAGTTCGATCCGGCCGAAATTAGCTGCTTTTTAACTTGATTTTAATTAAATCATAAATGTAAAAATCATATTTGGAATGGTATTTTTAGTTCACACTTAGTTTCGAATCGCCATACAGTTTAACATGTTTTGTTTTATACCCTACACCACAAGGTGGTCAGGGTATTATGTCTTTGTGCATTTGTTTGTAACAGGCAAAAGTAAACGAGATAGACCTTCAGTTCCTTTTGATGATCTGCATAAAATCACATTCTGAGTCGATTTATGCATGTCCGTCAGTCCGTCCGCCCATGTCCATGTATTTTTGTTAACAAAGTACAAATCGCATTTATTGCCCGATCCAGATGAAAATTTGCACAGATTATTTTGCTTGGCCCAAGGACGAACCCTATTAAAATTGGAGATAATCGGTCAAAATTTAGATATAGCTCCCATAAATATCTTCGTCCGATTTGTCTTTTATTGTGCACCAAACGTGTAATATCTGCCCGAATAGTATGGAATTTTGCATATACACCCAAGTTGGGCCTAAAAATAAGTATGCCAAATTAGATCGAAATCAGTTCAGATATAGCTATAACTCCCACATATATTGTTCATCCGATTTATTATTTTTGTCCTCCGCAGCTGTAATATATACACAGTAACAACAATATTTGTGGAAATATATTAAATACAACTCAGAAATACATTTACTACATTTTATCGATATCGGTTCAGATTTGGATATAGCTCCCATATATAACTTCGTCCGATTTACCTTTGATTGCGCACCAAACGTCTAATATTTGTCTAAATTGGATGAAATTTGGCACTTACGACCGAATTGAGTCTAGAAGCTAGTATGCCAAATTTGGTGAAGATCGGTTCAGATATAACTATAGCTCCCATATATACTGTTCATCCGATGTGTCATATTTGTTACCCACAACCGTAATATGCACTCCGTAACAACGATATTCAGGGAAATATATCAAATACAGCTCAGAAATATCTTTGCCAAATTATATCGAGATCGGTTCAGATTTGGATATAGCTCCAATATATATCTTTATCTGATTTCAAATTAATTTTGCACCAAATGGGCAACACATGTCCGAATTTAAAAGATACAAATGCTTTGGCATATTTAGTCCTTTGAATTTTAAATTATAATTATAATCATAGGGTGTATGATTGAATACTCCCATAAAAACTTTTAATTGTTATGTGGAGCTCTACTAAATTAGCAAAGTGGTGTAGGATATCATAAAGTCGGCCCCGCCCGACTTTAAGACTTTCTTTACTTGTTTTTTTTTTTGAACTCAGAACTAATTTTGTCATTTTGAAATCTGAACCATTTTTATGTAAATATCAAATTTTGTATACGAGGCAAAATTGTAGTATAAAGAGTGCAATACTCTCAAAAGTTCTTAAAAGGCTCTGTTAACTTCAAGAAGATGACCGTTTAGTAGACAAGTTGATTGTCGACGACGCTCTATAGATTCATTCGATATTTTTGATAGTTGGTTTTTAAAATATCAATTTATATGAGGAGGTAATTTTTCATTTTTCAATGGAACTGTATGATAATCCACACAAGCAGTTCTCTAAGAGCACTTTATCTTTTGGCAGAGAATCTATATCTATAAAAGAGGAAAATGTTTGTATGTTTGTTTGTTTGTTTGTTTGTAATTTATGGACTCTAAAACCGCTGAATAGATTTTCCTGAAAATTTCCATATATACTGCAACATCGCCTGAAAGTAACATAGGCTATCAGGCATGTCACAGAATGTAAAATCGTTCAAGAGTGAAAACGAAAACGGTTTTAGCTTCTCTAAAAAACGGAAAACGCAAAAATTTTGCGTTTTGATATCACTTTCAAAAAGCGGGGTGAAATTGAAATGTTTAGTGATTTTAACGTAAAAAATAAACAGAAGACACATACATTTAACAGAAAATATTGTATTAACCAAATTCTCTTAGAATGAACATGTTTTTGGAATTTATTTTACAAAAAATTTTTCTAATCCATGATGAAAAATAATAAAAAGGACTTGCGAGGAACTGGTGGTGGTGATATCAATCAATATGTTTTCAGTGAACACGAGAACAGTTTAATCAGAATTTGCGGATTGTATAAAAGTGTCGATGGAGTTGGTGGTGCAGTAAGCTTTGCGGATTTTGTAAGTGAATTAGACCTCAGTTGTTCTGAAAAAGAAAACTTTGATTCGTCATCATCTACACATATTCCAAGAACTCGAAAATCAAGTCAATTAGTTTTAAGTGAATCTGAAAACGAAGAGCTTAATTTTTCACCCTCAACTTCAAAGCAGACCACTTCGATTTTAAATAAAAAAGATAGACCAAGATCATGCATTCCAGCTGCTTTTAAAAATGTTTCTACATTGGCAATTGATCCAAGAACACCAACATTGGAAGAAAACCGTTCGCGAACACCTATTCAAAAACGACTTAGAAATAAAAGCTTATCGTGTTCTCCGCCATCTACACCAATAAGACAAGTGTCGGGCAGCCTAACAAAAGCAAAACCCACGCCTGCAGTAAAAAGACCCCGGGCAAGAACTCCCTCAAAGCAAGATCTAAATGCGCTTTTAGTTGAGGAAAATTCTCATTTACAAAACTTGGAA